AAACCAATTAAACGATTATTTTCAAAGTATTTGGATTGGTAAGAAACAACCTAACCTCTCGTTCTTTATCAATTGAACCTCTCGTTCTTTATCAACCGAAAAGTAAACTCACCTATTACCTCCGTTTTTACACATAATAACATTTTCAACCAACTCAACAAACTAAATATAAGATCGTCAGGACCAGATGATAATTCTAAGCTTTTACTCAAATAAGGTCGCTTTGAAATTGTTTATCACCCTGTATTCTATTTAATCGCCTCATAAAAAAAAGTTACCTAACTGACCAATGGAAATCAGCAAAAAAAATACCATGGAAGATTTTGAATTGTTTTGTAGCTTTAATATCGGCTGATTATTCTGCTAAAAGTGCATTGTGTTAAATTGTTTTCGAGTTTCTCTCATTCGGATGTTTTGTTCATTCATTACTATCGTTTTACATTTTGTTATAATATCAACAAATTTTCCAGTCAATTTGATCGTTTTGTTGCTAAAATATTGCAACTAATTTGATACTCATTTATTTATTTTACTTTACGCAAATTTTTCAAATATTTATAACAATTTAAATAAAAATTCTCAAATAATCATTAATAGTTCGCAAATAAGTTTTAATCAAGACAATGACAAATGAAATTTTGAAAGAAATTTAAAGTAAAGAGTGGATTGTTAACTTTGGCCATAATAAATGCTTTAGATTATGAGATATATGTCAAAAATAATCAATATAATTAGCACATCAAATAGTATTTTTATAAGTAAGTTAATAAGTATCTATATTTCTTGAAATGTTAATAGAATGTTCATCAATATACATTTTTTATATCTAAAAAGAGTCAAACAATCATTAATTTAACATCAACGAAAATCCAATGACATCAAAAAAAAACATGCTGGATTGTTATTGATGGCCAAACTGTATATATATGACCATCTTCGGTTGTTTTTTTTGAAATTTACACGTTTTGTAAACTTTATGAAAAAAAGAGTTTCTTAAAACTATCAACTTGTTATCTTGAAAATAAGTCCTCGCTTACTTTCGTGCGATTTATAATTTTTGTCAAAAAAGCCTTATTTTTAAATCCAAAAAAAAAACTAATTATCTTAAATACTTCAAAACTAATCTGAAGGCGGTGATCTACCTCAACTTTCGAAAAAATAAAAAAACTATTTTACAAAAATAATTATTTTTGGCCATCTTGGACTTCAAATTTATTAAAAAAATAACACTTTAAAGAAAACATTTTATTATGAAGAATCAAGCAAATGTAAAAACTATGGTATTTAATGAGAATATAAATGTTAGTCATCATTCTTGATAAGTTTTGTAACATTAGATTCATAAATATAGTAATTAGACTCCCAAAAAAACCTCCAGCCTTAAAATTTTAATATAAGGTTCATTTTAGAACTGAAAATGTCCAGTATATTTAAACCGGATGTCCAGTATATTTAAAACTTAAAACAATTAGAAATGTATCTTCAATATAAGTTGAAGAAAAACAAAAAAATAATTTTGGGATGTCTATTCAATTAGGATTCTGGAATTCAACATCAGTCATTTTGATCTTTTTAAAAAGTCAATGTTTTTAAAATCGATGAACATCTTAATTTAAAAAATTTGTTTACTTATTCTTTATTAAACGAGGAACTTAAAGTTTAGTCCATTTTGTTGCATAAATTTTATATAAATATCTGAGTCATCTGCAATTTGTTGTGAAGTTCCAATGTACCACTCATTATCATAGACACATGCAAGATGTATTCCAGCTTGAAAATCATCATTGTGATCCGAAGACCATCCTACTTCATTATTAGTTGCACTAACTGTTGTAAAACATGTACCGCCTGATATACGTTTCATTTCTAGCTTCCCATCATTACTTGGTATAAAACAGTAGTGTAAACGCATGCCTGAAAACTTTTTACAAATGGAGTAGCAGTCATCAAGTTTAGCATTTTTTATATGATTTGTTATAATAGTTTCAGAAATAATGAATTAAATATATAAACACTGAAATGTTTAAATGGCGTACTGAAAATAATATTTTCAGTGCATCATTTAAACATTTTAGTGACAGATTATATTTTGTTAATTTGCAGGATAGCCATAAAGTCACGATAAGGAAGGAAGCGTAAACTTCTAAGTTAAATGCACTTCCGCGGTGTCTTATTTGGGCACCTAAACAATGAAATTAAAAAAATAAGAGAAAAAAAAATCAAAATTGGCAAGAAAATTTTTATATCTTCTGAAACTCTAGCCAAAAAATGCATTAACAACATTAGCATCATGTTTCAAACAGTTATATATTAAGAAACAGTTTATTGGTTTGAGTTTATTATTAGAATCTTTGTAGTAAATAACGAATGGATGTAGTGTTGCTTGGCTATTATTTTACATAATTCTTGGACAACGTCTTCTGCTATAAAACTATAATTTTCTCCAAAAGCATGCAAAATAATAATTTGGTTTTATTGAAGATTTTCTTTCAGAATTAGGAGTAATAAGGATTGTGCCTTTGTAATAAAATGGTGTGATTTCAAGTTTTAATTGTAGAAACAATTTCTTCAAGAAACTCCACTTACGGAATTCCTAAAGTTTCTAATAGCGTTCTCCTTTTTTAACCGCTGTTTATACGGCACTATATCATCATATTTAAAACCATGTTGATTGAAGATATCACATATATATTGCTTTAAGTTCTCTGCATTAGAGCAGTTATCACAACTATATTCAATGTTACCGAGCACTGCATAGTAATCAACTTTGAATTTTGGTGTACTTGACAGACACAAACTAAATGCACGCCAGATACACTATCTCCTGTCACACATCATAATAGACAAAGCTGAAAAAACTTTGAACATCCTATTTTCTCTTCTGTTTTTAGAAATTCTAAATGTAACTTTCTTAGATTTACAAGTAATAATTGCTTTTCGATATGTTGCTTTTTGACCACCAAAACAAGTTCATTTTTTCCAGGACAAATCCGAGATTACTCGTCATGAGAATATTCTGAAAAAAAAATTAGATATTGTTTTAAGTGCTTGCAATATCTTAATTCTAGTAATTTTAATAAACTCTCCTAAGATACCTTTAGACACGCTTTTTAAACCATTCAGAAAAGTATTCTCTTGTTTGTTGGATTTTCCAACTATTTGCTGTTAATGTTATTAGATTTATTTTTTCATTTCTATCAGATCTGGCAATTGTTTTCTTAATAGCTTTGCAAAATAAATCTTGGTATGTTGATTTGTTCAAATATTCATTATTTATTGAGCAATTAATATAAATTTCATTACTGGAAAATCCCAAATAAGTTTAAGTTGCTTTAAAAGAATTTGAAACCTTCTATAACTTATTTATTCCATAACTGGGTCTCTCTAAAATAGACGCTGAATTTAATGGGGAGCACCTCAACATGTTTTATATGCAATTTAAGAACCACTTGGAATGTATAATGTATTAGTTTCACCATCAATCCTATTGTCTTCACTAGTATTAATTTTTTTACGACGAGTTTTTCAAACTTTGACCAGGGCAAAATTTCATTCTTAAAGTAGTTTCTTCATTGATTGACGTAAGGGATTCTAAAAAAAAAAAAGAAATCCAATATATACTATTATAACAATTTTTATCATAAGTATAAAGCCCAAAAAATACATCAAAGTTGTTAAATATGTCCATATACATTTTTTTGTCATTAACATAATGCGATGACAAAAAGACAACTAAACAAATTTTAACTTTAAAAATATTCTCAGAAAAACTTATTTTTTTAAATTTTCATCAATCATTAACTAAGTGCTTTAGTTTAATGAAATTATGTTACAATTATACCTTTGTGTAGTTTTATGAACATTATACTCACCATAATACCTTTGTGTAGTTTTATAAACTTTATATTGATAATAAAACCTTTGTGTAGTTTTATAAACTTTATATTCACAATCATACCATTATGCAGTTTCATGAACTTTATTTCACAAAAATACCTTTGTGTAGTTTTATAAACTTTATATTCACAACAATACCTTTGTGTAGTTTTATAAACTTTATATTCACAATCATACCATTAGGCATATCATGAACTTTATTTCACAAAAATACCTTTGTGTAGTTTTATAAACTTTATATTCACAACAATACCTTTGTGTAGTTTTATAAACTTTATATTCACAACAATACCTTATTACTATTACTTATTATTACTATTGTTATTATTATTATTATTATTATTATTATTATTATTATTATTATTATTATTATTATTATTAATAGTATTATTAAATATTATATATATGTATGTATGTATATAATATGACCCAAGCTCTAGCGTGTTTTATATATAATGTTAATTTTTATAGGGGCTGTTGAATGAAACGAAATAAACAAATGCCAAAGATGGCATTGTTTATTTCGTTTCATTCAACAGCCCCTATAAAATTATTTATTTATGTTATAGTAGGAGTACTGACACATCAACTACTTTTAAAGTATAAACATGTAACAAAAATAAATACTTCCAAACATAAAAAAGTAAGTGTCATTAAATATTACAACAATCAACTAAACAAATAAAAATTTATACATTTTAAATATGGAATTTTACTGCACTTTATTCTTTTGAATGCTTTTGCTTATTATTAAGTCATACATTTTTATTGTCATAAAATATAAAATGAAAATATTGCTTGAATAAAATAACATAACACTAAAAGGTTATAAAACACTTTTAGCATTATGTATACAATCTCAGCAAATACTGCATTTACAAAAAACGTACAATGTACGTTCTGTTTACGTTCTGAAAGTCCTAGACCTTTTTGAAACAATAGAGTTTTTATATGGTCAGCGTCGAACGTTCAAAAAACGTCTGAATTACATTCGGAAGTTTGCCTTTTCATAATAAAGTGTAGTTCAAAGAAACATGTAAACTAAAATTAAAATCTCGCTTTATTAGAGTAGATCAAATGAAATATTCTAGGTCATAAATAGTTTTATGGTATATTATAAATAGTTTTTATTTTTTTATATAGGTAATTATATCAAATACTGTATTTATAGTTTCTGATAAAATTATAAATACAGTCTAAATGAATAAAAATTAATTTTTTTGCCTAATCTATTTAAATGCCTTAATTATACAATATATACAAAGTAATAATTACTTTTAATAAACAATATTGTTGAATTCATCTCTTTCAAAAGAACTTTGCATAGTAGAATATGCATTATAGGAGTTTTACTAGAATCATCTACTGCATGCATATAATTAGGAGTAAATGCAATTTTACCATATTGAACCAGGTGTAGGTGTCAGGTCGGGGACATATCAGGCATTATTTTATGAACTATTATGTATTAGAATCTAATTCTAGTAAAACTTCTGCAAATGAATATAATAAATACATCCTGAAAATTTTATTGTAATTGCACATTTAGATCTTGACATATTCTGCGTAATCGTGTATATTGAAAATTTTCAAATGGTAAAAAACACGTTTTAAAAACAATAAATCTTTTTTATATTCTACTTTTTTTATTTTATAAGTCTTATTTATATGTATTTTTTGTATTTTGCAGAGACCATGTCAAGAATGCCAAGAATGAACTATAAAGTTGCCCTAGAGCTATCCTGAAAAATCGCAGGATCGGTGATCATGAAAAATTAAACCCCGACAACATTTTTATGATATTTTTCAGATTCTGTAATTTGAAATATGTTCTAATTATATGTATACTTTTAATTTTGTGTTTTATTTATTTTAATTAATGAGGCACATTTGTTGCCTTTTTTTTATGTTTTCTGAATATTAACATTTTGTTTCTAAAACTCTACAAATTCTGTGATGGCTAAAATACGCTCATTGCATAACAAATGTCTATTGAACAGTTAAAAGACGTTTAGAACATTATTTAAACGCTTAAAAGACGAATTTTCTTGACCAATTGTGTATAACTGCATTTCAACGGAAAGTCTTATTTAAGTCTTTTTACGTCGTCTTTAGAACGTGATAAAAGAACGTGTTTGAGCGTCTAATCTAGAACCAGTTAAAAGCGTGTCCGAGACGTTCCGTCTATACGTTCATTGTATGTTTTTTGTACGTCCCCTTGTTTGTTGGGTAATGTATTTCCTGACTTTTCACCTGCAACTGTTTTAGAGCAGCATGCAAGTCTTATTAGTTTGCAGAGTATTTATGGAAAATCAGGTCCTCTACTACCTGGATTTGCTCAGTTTGAACGAAATGACGACAGCAAGTTGATATTGGTGACATATATTAGGAAATACATTCAGGGCAGACAACAGTGTCTAATAGTGTTATCCAAAGATCTGTGCTGGACTAACTCAATTTGCTTTTTTTATAAACGACCTCTCGATGATATAAACTTATGTTACAAAATTATGTTACAAAAATGCGGACTATATTAAACAAATAGCATCAGTCAGGCCAGAAAAATTTAAAATAAAAAAATAAATCAACTAAGTCAAATGGTGTGTACCAAACATCACAAGAGAAGCAAATCGACGAGATCAACTAGTCGTAGAGGATAACTAATAATTAGTGCACAACTGCGCATTTTAAGCATTTTTTTCACTAACTACCTTACTATTGGAACTTACTATGTAGCTATACTGTCGACGCTGAAGCAGTCAATGCATTCAAGATTCTGTTGGACAACCTTCAGCATTGTTGCTACAGTAGCTTATTGACACATGGGTTACTTTATGTAAAACAGTAAGCTCATATAGCAACCATATTATAGCTAACTAACTAACTAACTTCGAGCGTGACAATTTAAAATGCATTACTAGATATTATGCTTATCTTTATTTTAAATATTAATATTAAAATGTTGTTTTTAAATCAAGCACTTAAAATGCAACAGCACAAGAATTTATTTATGTTTCAGTATTTAGGTATATATGATGATTAATGCTTTTGGTTATAACTGATATCATTAAAACTTCAAACAGGTATCATAAATTACTTAACGTTTAAATACAATACTAAAGTCTTTATGCAAACAAAAATTATATGGTTGAGTTACATAATTTATTTACGTTATTCATGTTATACACGCATACTCTTTATTAAATTGTGAAATAGTTTAGTTAAACAGTCTAATAAACTGAGTATGTTAAAAATGTTTACGTCTAATTAAAAATGTAAAATAATAATTTGAAAGACTAGTGAGTTATCGAATTGGGTTCTTTGTACGACTCTATCATTATAATGTTTTATGATTCTCTGCAACAGTAAATGACATTTATTAATTTCGATATGTTCTTAGTTTTAGCTTTAACCCGCCTAATGCCATTTTTTCAGCCTTTTAATAAAGTTAGATTCTTTTTTTATTATTGGATTAGCTTCTTTGACATAAAAAAAATTGATTAGTTTTACTAAATTAATTAAATTTGTTGATAAAATCATTTGATTAAATTTAAAAAAATTTAGTTTTATTTCCTGAATGTTTTACAAAATATTTTATTTACTTAAATAAATATGATTTACCTTTTATGTTTTCAACACACTTATAACACTTTTTTTGACCAAATTAAAGCTAAGAGCAAATTTCAAGTAAATTATTTAACACATAAATATTGCAATGTACAATATCTCAACAAGCCTAGTTTTAACCTCAATCATGGCTTATAACGTAATAAATTTTTCTCTTACATCTCAGGTGTAGATTATTTATCAGCTTTAAATAGAAAAAAAAACTTAAAGTTAACAATAAATAAAATATCAATAGATTAAAACTAATATAAAATTTTAATTTTGTATGAAAGCTTTACAGTATATTTAATTTCTAAAACATATATAGAATAGTTAAATAAAAAGGGAATAATTTATTTATTAAGTTCAAAAATAGAGTTTTTAGTAAGCACTTTTTACAGACACAAAACGCAGTTAAAGCCAATGCTTTACTTTTTATCACCATCGTTAAGCACTTAACGTTAGAACGTTATAGGGTTGCAACGTTCAAACGTTAGACACTTAAGGTTAAAACCAGTTTAAATAAACTCTTTGATCGCGTTTTATTACGCCGGTTGAATAAAAAAAAGCAATGGCTTTTAATCAGCGTTTTTTGAGTAATTGCTTTACGTGAATAAAAATTTGAACAAGTTCGCTCAGATTATATTCACGTAAAGTTTAAATTAACTCAAAAAATGCTGATAAGTTGCTCATCTTTACGTGAATAAAATTAATCAAAATTGTTGAAATTTTATTTTCACGTAAAGCTGAACATTTACTGAGTAAAAGTAACTGATTTTTTATTCACCCAGCCTATTTGCAAGTAGTTAACAATTTAGATTTTTTGATTTATTTATAAATTTTTGTTACTCCGAACAATGGAAAGTAAATCATTTACATTATATGGTTTTTATTCATCTTTCATATTTTTCATTTCTTTTCATATTTTCCATTTCTTTCATTTTCATATTTTATTTTGAAATGTATATTATTAGTATAAGCTGTAATAATAACTTCAAAGTTTTTTTAATGACTAAACCGAAGTGTAGCGCAACACAATCTATTTAAAGAAAAATGGAAATCTATCTTATTTTTTTGGTATGAAACCTTTTTAACTGTTCTAAAACTTATTTAAAAAATGCTGCATTTTTTTCCAAAGAATAAAAATATGAAAAAAAAATTGATTTAAGTCTGTTAACATCTATATATATATATATATATATATATATATATATATATATATATATATATATATATATATATATATATATATATATATATATATATATATATATATATATATATATATATATATTTATACATATATATATATAAAATATATATATATATATATATATTATATATATATATGTATAAATATATATATATATATATATATATAAATATATATATATATATATATATATATATATATATATATATATATATATATATAGTTTAGTATCTCTATATACTAAAATGTATGTAACTAATTGTTATTTTTAGAATCATAAAATATTAGCAATATAAAAATTTACTTTTTAAAATAATGTTAAAAAATGTAAATCTATGTCGAAATGAACTCTTTCGTAACAGTAACTTGCAAAACCGTCACTTTAGGTGACGATTTTGCAAGTTACTGTTACGAAAATAATGTCGAAAAAGGTATGACACTCGTCATCATAGATGTATTTAAATAAGTTTTATGAAACAAAAACATTTAACTAACTATGCAAATAAGTGCTTTTTATATATCAACATTTATAAGTGTGAAATGCGTATACAAGTTTTTCTAAATAAATAACGATATTTATACTATTTACTTTTAAAATGTAACAGTAATGTAAACAACGGGTGACAGAAATAGTGTCAAAAAAATAAATTCGTTATAGTGTCGAATATATTAAAAAGGCCTAATACAGTAAAAAAAAAGGAATACTGTTGCAAATGAATTTAATAAACAAAGTCGAAAACAAAACAAAAAAACAAAAAAACAAAAACGGAATAATATCGCAAACAATAAACTCGGAATAGTGTCAAAAAAAGTAAAACAAAAAAAGAAGAATAATGTCGCATTCTAACAATCTTGAAATCAAATCAAATTTTATCAATACTGTTAATGATTGTCATTTTATTCAACTACTCGAACCCTGCGATTGTATTCAACGTTTTTACGAACCATTCTTAAAAATATACGCAGAAGCATGTCGATCATATATTCCTATTAAAGCACTTAAACAAGCAAATAATTAACAGTTCAAATTAATTTGATTCACATACAAAAAAACTTGTTCAGGACAAACATCATGCATGGTACAAGTTTCGAATACTATCTAAGATGTCAAGCACAACAATAAACAGCGTAATTATTAAAAAAAAAAGAATATCAGCAAAAAATTATCTCACCATATATAGAATAAGAAATTGCAATTCGAACTGTCATTAATAAATAAGATAAAAAAACGAACCTAAAAACTTCTTTTTGTATGTTAAATCTAAATTAAAATTAAACTCGAGTGTCAATTCAATACAAGATAAACACAGCAATTTAATCACAAACAAACGACAATAGCTAATATATTTAACAAACACTTTTAATCAGTCTTCACAAATTGTATAAACAATGAACTTCCTGATTTTGAGAACCAATCCTTAACTCAAGCAAACAATAAAGTAGATGTTCTTTTTTGTGTAACTACAGTATTACAGAAACTAGATAACATAAATATTTACAAATTGATTCGAATTGATGGCGTAAGTCCTTATGTTCCAAAAAACTGTACAACATCATATTGTATTCCACTAAAAAACATTTTCACGAAAAGTTTCAATTTAAGTTCATTACCGAGGCAATGGTGTCAGGCAAGTGTTACTTCATTACACGAAAGCGGAAGTCGACATATCACAAGTAATTACAGCCCAATATTGTTCACATCAGTCATAATATAACTAAAGGAAAATATAATACGTGACTCCATGATGAAACATCTAATAAAAAATAATCTTATCACGTCGCAATAACATGGTTTTGTGCCAAAAAAGAGCCTTTTCACAAATTTGCTAGAGTGTCAAGACTATGTTAGTACAGCTTTACATAACAAACATCCAGTCGACTAACTATTTACTAATTTTGCGAAAGCATTTGGCCGAGTATTATATGAATACATTACCCATAGTGTTAAATCGTATAGTTTTAATAACAAATTTGTTGTATGGAATAAATCTTTCTTAAGTAACAGATAGCAACGAGTTGTAATTGGTGAAAACCAGTCTGACTGGAGTCCAATCAATAGTGGCGTAATACAAGGCGCAGTACCTGGACCGCTTTTATTCACAAAGTTTATAAACGACCTTCATTGTAAACTTTTCTACGTAATAAAAATTAAATACTGTTGCAAGCTGGACAAAGTTGAAATACTTAGAAACGAATTACAAAATGATGTAGATCAAACAAACAAAAAAGAAACAGTGTTGCAAATTGTAAATGAAATAGTGTCGCAAATAGTAAAAACGCAATAATTTCGCAAAGAATAAAAAACAAAATAACGTTGCTAAAAGTAAAAACGGAATAGTTTCGCAAATAGTAAAACTGTAGTGTCGCAATGAGTAACAAAAAAAATAGTGTCGCAAATAGTAAAAACAGAATAGTGTCACAAATAGTAAAAACAGAATGTTAATCGGAGAGAATTAACAAAAAATAGGTTTAAACCTATACAAAATTAGTATAAAGCTGAAATTTGGCGGTGAAAAATGCTCTGTCTTTCGATTAGCGTTAAAAAACCCCAGTTGACTGCGCAACTGTAATATTGCCCTTTTGGGGTAATTTTAAAGGCGAAGAAATGTCCGTTTTAACACCTCTAAAATCTTATAAGCGGTTAATTCTAAAATCTTATATACGGTTTCTCTAAAATCTTATAAACGGTTAAATCTAAAATCTAATATACGGTTTGATAGAAAATTTTATCCTTTTTAATATTTGTATAAAAACTATGACTTTGAGCAATTTATTAAAAAAAATATTCACGTTTAAAAGTGTAACAATTTCCTTGAACGTTGTTGCTGCGATAAACTTTTTGTCATAATGTTGTGAAACGTTTTCTCAACATATAGAATGATGTATATATATGTATATATATATATATATATATATATATATATATATATATATATATATATATATATATATATATATATATATATATATATATATACATACATATATATATATATATATATATATATATATATATATATATATATATATATATATATATATATATATATATATATATATATATATATATATATATATATATATATATATATATATATATATATGGCTATAATTTTTTATTTAATTTTTTTTAATTACTTTTGGGGGGAGGCGGTGAGAAGCTAATGAGACATGTTGTTGAAGAGACTGTGAACTATTTATAATTTCTGAATTGCATATTAGTAAGATATTAGTAATGATTTTCAATTAAAGTGTCGATTGTAATAAATCTTTATATATATCAGTGGAGGATATGTATGTGATATTAAATACGGACTGAAAATAAAAAAGTTTAAAATTATTTTTTTTGGAAAAGAAGAGTGTGGCCATTTAGTCAATATATAAATTAGAGAAAAAGTTTTTTGTAATTATTAAGTTTATTATATATACAGATAATTACGACTAAAGAAACCTATTTATTTTTTGAACTTTAGTAAAAAAGAGGAAAAGAAGACGGGTGAAACTGGCCTGAATAAACTGTAATATCCTAAAAAATAGACATCGTTTTGCAAATATTGTCACAAAATCATTAAATTTGATTTCAAAATTTTATGGGGTAATGTAATTTTGGAATTTAAAGCATTTAACTTTTAAAAAACTTTAAAATTAATAGTATCTTTTTAGGAAACAACTACTGATACAATACAAACTTAACTATCTTGCTTGCTTTTTACATATATCATTTTATCAATATTGTTATAAACAGATATATTTATCAATATTATTATGAAACAAATGACCAAATGAGTCATAGAAGTTCATATTTGAAGTAAGATCTTGTGATATTATTAGAAAATTTGAGGTACCAGAAAAGCCAAAAAGATAACACAATCATTTTGAAATTAAATTAAAAACTTTCAAAAAGTATTGAGAAGTTGCATATTTATACAGCAATTTTAATAAACACAATTATAAGGATTATTTTACTAAAGCATATCTATGACTTTGAATGTTATTCTTTTTTTTTTTAGATTGAGTTCTTTATTTACTTTATTAATAAAAAAGATTTTGTTTGTTGATATTTTGTTTGTTTGATTATTTTTATTTTTTAATAAGTTAAGTATTTATAAAAATAATCAAGCCACTATTTTAATTTTTCCTACAAATACTCTCGTTGACGCTTTGAATCCATTTTCCTTGTTATAATTTTACATTTAATTGTTTACCTTAATATAACTCAGCATTTTCTCAATCAGGACATGTTTTAGGATATGCTTCATGTATTGCTCCAATATATCCTGGAAATACTTGAAGCATATCCTATAACAAAACTTGTTATAGGATACAATATATATATATATATATATATATATATATATATATATATATATATATATATATATATATATATATATATATATATCTATATATATATATATATATATATATATATATATATATATATATATATATATATATATATATATATATATATATATATGTATATATATATATATATATATATATATATATATATATATAATATATATATATATATATATATATATATATATATATATATATATGTATATATATATATATATATATACATATATACATATATATATATATATATATATATATATATATATATATATATATATATATATATATAAAAATATATTTATATATATATATATATATATACACACATAACTGTATATTTAATAACTTTATAAATATAACTTATACTATATACAATATATTATGTATATACTACTAGCAAAAAGTAACCCGTAATACGGATTATGGTTGGTCTGTTACATAATTAAATTATATTGGCTGTTTTCCACAATAAAAAGATGCGAAATTGCGAAAATTTAACTAACATCCTTTTAGTAAAACTCCTTTGAATTAAACAAATTAATCTATTGTTAAAATTAACATAATCAGTATGAGAAGGTAAAATAATTTACCAAGTATTATTTAACATATGCGAGTAATTTACAACTGAAATAGGTCATATCAGTGTAAGGCAGAACCATTTTTAAAGACATTCCTAAGTTTAACACAAAATAATAACACTTCGTCATTCTTTCAATTGACAAAAATATCAACTAACTTCTTCTTAATATATTATTAATAACATAAACTTTAATTATTTATTAAACTATATTTATTATAAATAACTAAGCAATTGAGTACAAATGCGTTTTTAAAAAAAGAATAATAATTCACAATCAAACATGTGTATAACAAATATAAAAAAAATGTTAACTTTGATCTTTTATATTGCGTCATCAACAAACCTAAAACAAAAATTGTAACAGATAAGTAGGCATAAAGAAGGCATAAAAAAAGTGGACATAAAAAAGAAAAAAGAAAATGACTGGAAAGCAGTTTACCTGGTTGTGGTAACCTGTTGTCATATTTCAGTTGCTGTCATGATGCAACAGTTCTTGTCACGATGCTAAAACATATAAGATAAAAAATCAAATTGAGATATAAATTAATTGCATTTATACACCCGAAATTTTAAACCTCTTTAAAAAAAAAAAAGATATATTATAAAGAATTTTGATTTTTTTTTAATAAGTAAAAATGCTTTCTAACTTTCTCCAATAATCCTGTCGTCATCTAAAAAGAAAAGAAAAATTCGATTCTTCCTTAATCTACTAAAATTATTTCAATAATAAAATAAATATTTAATCTTTCGATTTAATTAATTAACAAAAATTTAAAAATCGTTTAAACAACTTTTGATTGACATTCAGAAGCGGTCTCATTCTATAAGCTTCGTCAATTGATTGCTGAACATTATCATTTAAATTTTCTAGATTAAAATCTATGAATTCATCAACAGCAGGCAAATTATAATCAGATAGCGTTTTACCAATTTAATTAATAATCTTTTCTCAAATGTTCGCCACAATGCCTCAGGTGCACTAACATAACACAAATCTAAAAAAGTGATTAATTCATCGTGATTAACTTGTTCATTTATCACAACTTTCGCACAATCGTGTTCTTTGTAAATGTATTTGTACAAATATTTAACAGTCTTTACAGACATACAAGCTTCAATATTATGTGGGCTTGATGTTTTTTAGATAACCAAGGATTGCAAGGTACCACCAAACGGTTATCTACATATTACGATCGTTAACAATGTCGTTAACATGTTTATGTAAGGCATCATACTGCTCGCTTTTAAGTTTGTTTTGGTTAATTCTGATAAAAGCAAGACACTTGCCTTCGATTTAGACATATGCATTAACAGCATATTGCTGAAATAGTTTTATGCCATAAAATAATGAACAGAAAAATTGCCAAGCAAAAAGTCAAAAATTGTAGAAATAAGATAATGTAACATAATTTCTAAATAGTGTGGCACGCTCGGGGTTATGTACCAACTGATTATGCCAACCAGCATCAACTCTTGGGAAAAATAGGGGATAAAATATAGGATCCATATAGCAATATAGAAGTTGTATCATATATGTCAGTTGGCTGACATACATGATACAATTTTTAAAAGACGACCTCTTGTGTAAATAACAACTTACCTGGAAGTTAGGGGAGCACCATTTTCACCAACAAACACAACAACAACTTCATCATGTGAAGGTAGATTACAGTCCCATGACAATTTATTAGTGCCACCTACATTTTTTCTGTATTAATGATTTCTTGGGGTTATAAAATGCAGTAAACAATTAAAATGTGTTCAAATACTTTTTATTTTTAATTGATTAATATTCATATACACAATAAAACCAAATAAATCTATAAAATAACGACAAAAATTAATAAACCTAATGATAGACACACATTGTATCAATATTTTGTGAGCCCGCCTTTGGCATCAATAATTGTTTGGACGCGTCGAGGCATGCTTTCAATACATTTTAATGACATTTCTTTTAAATTTGTATCGTGGTTCCAATAATATATAATTTTTTCAATCAAATTAACTTTGTTTGTGATATTTTCTTTTGAAATTTTTCTCTTCAGGAGTTCCCAAACATTTTCTATTGGATTGACGTCTGGTGAGTTACCTGGCCAATCCAATAATGGAACTTTTTCTTCTGAGAGGAACTTTTTTATAGATATTGCAGTATGGCAAGGGGCACCATCTTGCATAAATATAAATTTCTCCATTTAACCAAACCAATCCCGTAGTTCTGGTAACAATCGATGTTGCAAGACATCTCGATACTGGTCTTGCCTCATAATGCCCTCTACAACGTAGAGTCGACCCAAACCTTTTCCGCTTATCACGGACCAAATCATGACAGAAGTCGGATATTTGACAGTTTTTATAACACAGTCTTCGTGATATTTTTCCGATATTTTACGGCGAATATACTGAGCTTTGTTTGTCATCACTTGGTATGTGCTCTCATCACTAAAGCAAACCTGGAATAAAATATTGTTTTATAATTTCTCATTCCATGTGTGTTTTCATATAAAAATATTAAAATAATTTAAACACAAACCTGTTTCCAATCTTCTACTGTAAAGTTTTTATACTTCAGAGCCCATTTCAATCTATTTTCTTTCATTTTGATTGTTAACTTTGGCTTTTTTACTCGCCGTATACTATTATAACCGAGATCATTGAGTCTTCTCTGCAATGTTCTGGTGGACATTTGAATTCCAGAGGCTTGTAATTTATTTTTTATGAAAGAATTAGTAGCAGTCCTATCCTCCTTTATTACTTTCGACAATGTTCTTTCACCACGAGGAGTCAAAATTTTTTTTTTACCACATTTACTTTTTCTTTTCGGTGAACAGTTATCACCCATATCCATTTTTTTGACAACTCTCTGTACTGAGGTATGTGAAATACCACATTTTTTAGCAATTTCACGCTGTGAAAGTGTTTTTTCATTTATCAATGCTTTTATAAATCCAATTTTTGTTGGTGAAAGATCTCCTTTTTTACCCATTACTAAAAAATACAAGATTTTTGAGGTTAGAGTTGTAACATTATCAAAAATGACCTTTCTGTAATAATAATATTAGAAAATCTTTATTTACAAGTTTAAATTATATTATTAAAACAAATAATAACTAAATATTGCACTTACTTCTTCAGAATTTTAAAAAAAACCGATAAAATAGACAGAGAAAAACAATCACGTGCTTGTAAAAATGACAGTTGAGTAATAGTGTCGTGACAAGATGGCTTCCAGAAATGTCAGGGATGCCAATAGTAAAAAAAAAATCTGAAAAAATTAACTTTATACATAATTGACTTCTTATAAATAATACATTTAAAATATATTACATTACTTTTCAATTGTTAAATTCAACTTGAATAAGAAAATATGAAAAAAATATTGGTAGCACTAATAAATTGTCATGGGACTGTAGAGCGTTGTCTATCACCCCCTTCAAATAAAAACATTTTACGACATAACTTGAGCGACCTTCTAAAACTGCTTGACAGCTTTCTTCATCTTCTACTTCAGCCATGTTTTTAAATGTAAAAGCAAATGGATTTTGTTCAGTAATTATAGTTTGCAATTGAAACATTAAATCACGTAAACAAAAATCATTACCACGTTGTTGCATTCTAAAATTTACTGCTGCAACAAAGATCATTACTACGTTGTTGCATTCTAAAATTTACTGCTGCAAGTGGATCATAAATATATAGTTGAGAATATATTGGTGGAATATCTTGGTCTTGCCTAAAATTACCAACACGATGAAAAATCTGGCCACATATTTTAAATTATGTAGGCCCGCGATTTATTGGTTGAACTACATTTGCTATATAAGAAGAAAAAGAAAGACATTATAGTTTCGAATATGTTTTAAAAAATTGAAATTAGTATTACGATCAACATAACTCCCTGTAAATAAATCCTGTAATGCTTATGTTAATGGTCAAAGTAGAGGCAAAGCTACCTTACCATTATGGCACCATAGAAAATGTGTTTCATCTAGAAATTTTTTAGCACTACAGTGCTAACAAATTTGATTCATTTCTTGTAAATAATTACAATCTGGAATAGCATTACTTCTTGCTATAGAATACATTTGTTCTTGTCCAACAAATCTTCTTTCGTTTTGGCGACGATTAACTTCGCCTGGATTTAACCAATTTCTTTCGATTTGACGACAATTCTCATTATCACGAATGAGCCTATATCTTTCATTTTGGCGAAGATTAACTTCATCTTGATTAAGCCTATTTTGTTCATTTTGTAAATGATTTATTTCATCTCGTCTAAGTATATTTCTTTCATTTTGTCTTCGATTATTTTTAACACGCCTTATAGCACTTGCATCATCATGTAATTACATAACTTCATCTAGCCAATCATCCATTTCAATGTCATCATTTTCATTAAACATATTTATCAAAGCAACACAAACTATTTCTTTTTTTTTTACTACTCTAAAGTAAACAATAAAATAAAAAAACTTAACACAGGTGGTTACACCCCAAAAACCACATGAAAGTAGGAGAGCCTAGAACTTTTTTCTTGAGAAAAATAATATTTTTTAAGTTATTACTATTGAAAGAAAAGCCTAAATTGGGTTCTTCCTGATAGGTATGGTTTAATATGTCTTGCTTGTTTTTTTTTGCTTGAATGTTGAAGCTGACTCTTTTTTTCGCCATGCACCCCAAAACCCACATTAACTAATTTAGCTATAATTTCTTAACTGTTAAGAATTTTAACCTGATTTTCTGAAGAAGATTGTTATAATGAAATGACTTTAGGATGATTGCATCACTGCTAACTTATATTTTAGACAACACTTCAAATGTACTACAAAAACCACATCATATGCACCCCAAAGACCACGTTGGTTTTTTGATGATTATGGAAAAGATTTGAAATAATTTAATAAAATATTTATATAGTTTACTCGAATATAGTTTCTATTTATCATCCATAAAAAAGTTTAATTATATATGTTAATTTATTGCGGAAATACTGCAATTAAAGCAAGTTACGTTTTTTTGTTTGTTTGCTATTTTAGAGTTTTGTTTATTATATTTATTGGTTTGTTGATGATTATGGAAAAGATTTGAAATAATTTAATAAAATATTTATATAGTTTACTCGAATATAGTTTCTATTTATCATCCATAAAAAAGTTTAATTATATATGTTAATTTATTGCGGAAATACTGCAATTAAAGCAAGTTACGTTTTTTTGTTTGTTTGCTATTTTAGAGTTTTGTTTATTATATTTATTGCATTTGTTAATAGTAAATAAAATGAAACCAACATCTCCGTTACATTTACGTATAAACAAAGTAAGAAATTTTAGTACAAAAGCTGATGCCACAGTTGCCAGAAAACATACTAATGAAAAAAATAAGCAACTAGAAGCTGCTATAAATTGGTGCAAAAAAACGAATGGGAGGAGACAAGCATTGTTCGTTTTATAAAAAATAAGAACAGGTCTTTACAAACAATTAATAAACATGAAGTAACCAAATTAATTCTAAATGTGCTACGCATTAGACATCACACTAATACAAAAATAAAAAGTGAAAGGAAGTTTCACAAATTATCATTAAATGCTCGAGCTGCACTGGAAAAAGGAAAGTAAGTTGAAACTAAATAATTAAACTTACAATGATCCTATGAAATCTAAATAGGGTAATA